GCTCAGAATCAAACCTAATGATTATTTGACTAACCAGCCCTTCATTCATTTATTTCTCTAATGAATTATTGAGGCACTGCATAGACATCTCAGAATAAAAGCACAACACTGGTCTTAGATTGCAAAAGTATAATAGTACTTGTGATATAATAATAATAGCAATAAGCACACAAAATGCTGCATAAACACTAATTAAACCTCAGTGTCCCCAAGCAGCAAACACAGAAGGCAGGATGCTCAGCACATGTAGTGATTTGAGGTAAAGAGTATAATTAACACCAAATAAAACAACCTTATTCCAAATACAGCTCATGGTACTTGTGGCTGCTCTGCTCTGTGTTACAGAGGAGACAGAAAAACTGAAATCTGCTCTCTGACCAAGTTTCCAATAAATGTATTGATCCCAAACAGCTGTGAGCACGTTTAGGTTACGAGAGGGAACAGAGTTATTTAAATCATCAAAGCTAACACCTGAGGGAAGTTGTCCAAATCCTCTGGAAGCTGCCTCACAGGGTTGTGATCAGCAGTTTGCCACACGGGGGGCTCTTGGTTCATGTGGAAACAGCTGTGAGATCCTGGCTGTGGCTGAAGCCCCAGATCCCTTGAGGGGAGCAGAGACAACAGGACCTGGACTGAGCTGTCACTCCCATTCCTCACCCGTGCCGAGTTCACCTTGACTCCTCGACAGGCTGGTGCCAGAAGAGAAAGATAAGTGGATTTGGAGAGAATGTTTAAGAAAAACCCAGATCAGCCAGGAAGCCGAGTGTTAAAGGCTCAAAGATGTAGCACAGCATTCAGATGTAAAAGCCCTGCTGCAGCCACACTCCAGGTCAATAATAAAAGCTTCAGAGTGATGGAAAACCTGCCCTGTCAGTAATTTCTATTCCAAGAGATGTTTGTGATGATGCAGTTTACAGCACAAAGTTGTAATATTATTTTTCACACCATGCACTTTTCCATCTTTGTCTCTTGCTTAATTCCAGTTTTTTCTTTTCTTTTTTTCACAATTTTAGTTTGACACAATGGCCCCACTTGCTTTTGTAGTGTCCATCCTATGGATCATTCCAGAAATCAAAATGATTTTGCAACAATTGTCAGCAGTGCCTTTCTCTGTGACAGCTCAGAAATACTTCATGATGAGCTTCAATATGCAGGAAAGGAAAAGCGTGGTGGGTGATTTCTGCCTTTACTCGGTACCCACATAGGGAGTGGAGTCCCTTGGTCAGCTGGCTGGTGCCGCAGGGAATTGCTCTCCCTGAGCAAGGAGCAGGCTCCTGTGTGAGCCCAGGGAAAGCTCTTCTGTGCATCCCCTTCACCCACTAAATAGGGCTGTTCACTCTCCTTGGCCTGGTTAATCCTTCCTTTGCTGAGAATTCCAAAGCCAAAGCTATCAGTGTGCCAGTTCCTGTGGTTTTGGGAGCTTTTTTGATCATATATTCTTTTTCTGGAGATCGTAGCTGCTGAAATTTTATTGCCTGAATCCTTTAGCTTCTGTTCAATCGCTTTTGGAAAAAAAGGAAAAACTTCCAACCCTCGGGGCTGTAGAGGAAAGCTTAGGAAAATGAACCCTAAATGCCTTGGCATTCAGACCAATAAAGACAGCCTGGCATCAGTTGTCATGTAAATAACAAGCTTGTAAAACAAACACTGCACATTCCAGCGGTTCTGTTTGTTAAATCTGCTTCTCCTGCAGTCTGGACTGGGACCTGGTGCCAGCCTTTCCTGACCAGCAGAGCACCAGCACCATCCTCCTCGTCTTCCTCCTCAGAAATGCAAGTTTGGAAACAACTTTTCAATGCTGGAAGCAGCAGTAGGAGCCCTGAAGATGAGCCCGATGCTTCTCAGGGATTTTCCTGGAAAGCAGTTCCCTGCTCTCTGCATGGGCCCTGCCTCCACCTGGACAGGTAAGTGGATGCTTTGGCACGTGGGGCTGGATTTCCCATTTACCTTCACACACCAAGGAAGGTAAATCCACGTCCTTGCTGGTGAAAAGGACTTTTTCTGCGATATGTTGAACTTAATTATACCATTTTATGCAGAAGATGTTAATCTAAATGTAACCAAACTGCTGGGGGTCACTATTTCTGAAGTCTGTGTCAAGCTTGCCAGGGGTTAAATGTGGTAAACTCTTATTTCCTGCCCAGAGCTGGTTTATTTTTGTAACACAGGAGTTTTCAGTAAGTTTGTACTGGAAAAGTGCTTGGCTAAGGCTTTTACTGGTGAAAACAGACCAAAAATGCTTTGCTCAGATTTTTACTGGCATCAGTAGATGAAATGCTTTCCTCAGTTTTATGCTGCAAGCAAATATATATTGATAACTAAATGAACTCCTGGATTAATTAAAACACACCATACATTCCAGCAGAGAAACAGAACATTCATCCCTAGAAATATTTACATGAGAAGATGATGGTTTCAGTCTGTAATAGCCAGAGTGTGTGTACACGTCCTGTACACAGCCTGTGGGGAGGCTGGGGCTGGGCAGAGCTGAGGCAGGAGGCTCAGCCAGATGCACTCTGGGCAGGGATCTTGTTTGGATAGCTGATACCATATTTAGAACATACATAAAATAACTGAAAGAGAAAGAAAGATGTCCTCTGGTATTGCACCATATTAGAAATGGCAAGGAGTACGACACTGACTCTCTTAGCTGCATTGTCCAAGAGAGCAAAGTTTATTATTCTTAATCTTCTTTTAAAGACATGTTCAAGAAAGTCCAAGAGGTAAAATTCTCATTGGTCATTAAAGCAGCACATCACCTTCATTGGTTAAGAGAAACACCACCCCTTGACTGTTTCCTAAACACCACCTGCTAAGATTGTTGTCCTTCATCAAGGACTGTTTGGATTCTTTTTTGTGCTTTCTCAGGCCAGAGTGAGAAGCCTGTGTGACTTAGTTTTACACAGACTCTGTGCTCTCTGCTTTCAGCATCTATACTTTGGCTGCTGCAAAGTGCACCAGGGTTTTGGGGTCTAAGTGCTATTTGGAGGAGGATCAGAGACTAAGTGTCCCATCCATCTCCACTGGGTCTCAGGTTCTCAGGGTGTATTTGCTGCCCACAGAACCTCACTGGCAGCTGTTGGAGCTGTGTGTTCCTCATGCCCTCCCCAACAGCACTCGTCCAAGCAGCAGTTGTCTCCAAACCTTTTGTCTTTTCCTTCTAAACCATCTTTGTGTCCTTTGGTTTCAGCATGAGGGCTGGGACCTGCTGGCCATCCTCTCTAGAGTGCTCAGTCCCCAGGGCTGTGCTGGGGAGGAGGATATTCCAGGCTGCAGCTGGAAGCAGGAGGAGGAGGAAGGGCAGAGGGCTGATACTGTCAGTGTCACAACTGGGGTGCGCAGTGCCAAGTGCCAGCGCTTATCCAGCGATCTGTCACCCCACCCCTGTCACCCCAGCAGAGAGGGACACCATGGTGAATTCAGCAGTCCCCGGGGCAGTGTGGGAAGGCAGGGAGGCAGCAGTTTGCTGCACAAACTCGACAGCAGAACCTAGCATGAAGTGCAATTACTGCTGGTTCCAAGAGTAAAAGCATCCCTGTTAACACCCCACTTACTCCATGCTCAAGGATTGCATGGGGGGAATGCAAATCTCACCTACCAGCAGACACCTTCCTGCAAGGAAGCCTTGAGAAAACAGAAATCGTCCAGAATACTAAAATTGAACACTACTTTTTCTTATAAAACTTCCTCAAAGTTTAGTTTCACCAGGCCAGACTGCAGAAATCCAGATTGTGTCTTAATTTATTAAAACATCCCACGATTTAAAATTGCTCAGAACTCCCAGTGCCAGGATGCTCTGCAAGAGTTATCCTTCCCATCAAACTTAGGGGATCCAGATAAAAAAAGAAAGTAGAAGTTGTGAATTTGAACAAGGGAAGCCTCTTTTGCATTCTGATGCTTTTTTCCCTATGCCTGACAAAATTTCCCAGATTTTTAGAATTTCATAAGAAAACAAAAGAACTCAACACCACAAAGTCTCAAATTTCCAGTGTCACTCCAAATTCCCAAATTTTACAGCCGATTTCCAAGCCTCCCGGTACTGAGGGAGCCGAAGAGCCGAACTCCGGCTGGAGAGCCACGGTTTAAGCGGGGAAATAAGGCTTGGGAGCAGGAGCGGCTGCCTTGGCAGGGGAAGGGGAAGAGCAGCCGCTCCGAGCGCTCCCAGCTCGGGGCTCGCTGCCGGCTGGGGCACGAAGCTGTTCCGCGAGTGCCATCCAGGGGACGAGAGCTGCACTTCAGCTGCTGCTCGGGGAGAGGAGGGGGTTGAAGCGTGACTGGCTGGGGGTGTGGGTGTTAAAGAAGAGGAACCGACCGAAGCGAGGTGCTTAAAACTTTGCGAGCCACACCCGGGTTCAGCCGGTGCGCAGGGCGGGGATAGGAGTGGAATTAACAAATTGAGAAGCGCCAGGAGTTTGGGAAGGGACCAGAATCTTCACAGCAGGTCTAAAAATGCTAATTACAGAACCACAGGATCACTTAGGGTAGAAAAGACCTCCAAAATCATCGAGTCCAGCCTTGTCACCCAGACTAGAGCTCTGAGAGCCGCGTCCAGGCGTTCCTTGGACGACTCCAGCAATGGTGACTCCAAACCTCCCTGGGCGACCCCTTCCAACGGTGGTGGTAATTTAGGTGGATCCAGTTTGTGTGAGCCTCTCCCCGGGACCCCTCTGCTGTGTCTGGGGGTGGAGAGAAACCCCAGTGACATCTCGGTCCCTGTCCCCGAGTGCTTCCCAAACCTCGGCACTTACGGCTTGGGAAAAGCCTCGCAGGGAGAACCCATCCTGCTGTGTGCCCATCACCGGCTGGGGACCGCCGGCTGTTTAAAACACGGCCATGCTTGTGAAGGAGCAGCCGGGAAATACAATTTCCTCATCATATAAATCAGTGTTGGGGTGTGTGTGTGGGGAAACCTGGTTTTAACCGCCTGGTTTTAACAGGAGTTGGCTGTGGGATGGGAGGGCAGGGCCCGGGGGGCACGGAACGGGGATCGCGGGGCTCACCTTGATGATGAGCGGGTTCCGCAGCATGCTGAGCCGGACCAACCCCAGCCGCTCGTTCTCCGTGCCCGGGCCCGCCTCGGCCAAGCTCATCGGCCGCCGCCGGGGCCCCGCTCTGCCGCCCGCCATGGCGCGGGGGACGGTCCCGGGCCGGGGGTCTCCCGGCGGTCGCAGTCCTTGTCCTGGTGCCGGGAGGGGGAGGGTCTCGGCTTTCCCGGTGCCGGGGCTCTCTCAGCGGTCCCGGTCCCGATCCCGATCCCGGGGGTCTCTGGACGGCCCCGGTGCCGGGGTTCTCCCACCGAACTCGCGGCGCGCGCGGCGGCGTCCGTCTCCAGGCAACAGGCGGTGCGCCGCTCTCATGGGTCCGGCTGGGGCCGCTTCCGCCGGGGGAACGGATGAGCCGGGGGCGGGGTGCGGGGGGGGCGGCGGCGGGGGCTGACACCGCGTGGAAGTAGCGGGAGGCCCGGCGGGGCGGGGACGGCGTGGACGCTCCGTGAGGAGGCTCCGTGAGGGGCTGCGGGTTCCTCACACCCCGGGACCGCCGAGAGGTCTGTGGGTGCGCTGGGAGTTTCCTTCGGTAGCCCCGGAGCGACGTGATCCGGGCCGGCCGCATACGCGTGCTCAGCCGGGGTTCCTTGGTATCTGGGCCTAGGGGCGAGCTGTGGTTTGAGATCCGCAGAGCCTTTGGGGCCGCTCGTTCCTCTCGGTGGCGGGGAGGGGATGCTCGGGGCCGGCCGGCGGTGCGAACTGCCCTGGGGATGCGAAATTCAAGGGCGCGTGTTTCAGACGCGACTGGGGTGTTGCGGACTGAGCGTTTTTTATGTGCTGGATGTAGAAAATGTGCTAAAAATGCTTCTTGCTTGCGTGTGACTGAATTCTGCAGGAATTGCCCTGTCCTGGGACAGAGCCGGCATGGCTGAGCTCGGCCCATCAGGAACGTCTAATGAAAGAATTTTGGGTTTAGTGCTGATGGGTCTCGTATTTCTTTGTTGCTTTTTGCTTGCTGCTATTTCACTGCTGAAAGCTGAGTTGAACACAAGAATCAGACGTTGCTTAGTCATTCAAAATCAAAGCTAATAGTTACTAAATTTATTAAAATGGTTTTTTTGTAGGAAGGCTGGGGGAAGCTGTGATGCACATCTGTTTGACGAAGAAGGCATCAGCTTTTCCTAGGTACTTTACAAAACTAACTGGATTAAAAAGTAAGAGTCTAAGACAAAACTGAGTTTTTAATTGTTAAGGTTTTGGGTGGGTTTTATGCTTTTTGTTGGTTTTTTTTTGGGGGGGGTGTAGTTTTAAAAAAAACCTGTGTATAAATGACAACACTTCAATAAAACTCCTCTCTTTTACTTAAGAGGGAAAATAATGAAAGGCAAAGCACATTCAGATTATTTTGAAGTCCAGGATTTTGTCAAGAAAAAGAAGAGGAAACACAACGATTCCAACAACAAAGATAAAAATGCTGAAATTGTGGAAGATCCAGAGCTTGGCCACGCATCCCAAGTGCTCTTTGAAGATGCACCAGTGGAGGACAGGAAAAAGAAGAAACTGAAGAAAAAGGATGAGAAGCAGCAGGCTTTGATAGAGAATTACTTTGGGACTGTGGAACATGAAATCAGCAATGGGACTGGAACAGCTGATTCCCCGAGGAAGAAGAGGAAGAGGATGGGTCAGGACAGCACTGATGAGCTCAGCGATGTCACCTGTGTTCCTGAGAATCAGGACTGCCAGGAGGGTGCTGCTGATTATGCTTGTTCTAAAAAACCCAAGAAGAAAAAGAAAGAAAAGCAGCCTGAAGTGGATCAGGTGTGTGAGCTGTCTCCCTCTGAGGAGCACAGCAAGGGCCACAAAGAGAAACCCAAAAAGAAGAAGAAGAGGAGAGAGGGCAGTGCCCAGGACGTGCAGGAGGACACGGATGGAGCAACTGAGCAGCCGCCCTTAGAGCAGGACAGGGGGTGGCCTTCAGATGAGGATGGAGGCTGTGATGCTGCTTCTGCCATCAGTGAGGTCTCTATGGAGCTCCCTGCTGATTTTTCTACACCCAGTAAAGCAGCTGATAGAGCTAAAAAGACTCCAGTACGTGCTAAAAAGGCATATAAGAGCAGCGCTTTTGTCGAGGAAGGAAGCTCTTCAGAGTCTGATGTGATGTAAGTTCAGGTTTTGTTTGTGGGGTTTTTTTTCCTTCTTCCACTCCCCAAATACATACTCCCCTTTCATGTTATTGGGGTTCTAGGTTTTTCTTCATTCTGCTTTTTTGTGTGTTTTAAAGAAAGACTTTAACATCATGCATGCTGTGTAAGTTCAGAGTTTTCTTGTGGTGATCCAATAACAATTTTTAAGAGTACTTCAGTATAGGCTCTTTTCTCTTCTTTAAAAACTATAGCTATGGAAATAATTGATGTGCAAACAATTCACATCTAAAAAAAAGAAAAGTGGGGAAAAGAGAAAAGGATTACATTTGTTAAACTTGATATTTATTGTCCACATGTGCATTTTAACCAAGCAGCTAGTAAGGTCAGCTAAACAATTGAATGTTCTGTGCAAGTAAATGCTGGTGTAAGTAGTTCTTGATGCCTTTACAGTGTCTAGAACACAAAAAAGGAGCACTAATAAGACACAGATGGAAAAAATCTGTGCCAGTGGTAGCAAGAGATATTTTTTCAGTATGCCCAAGTGTGAGAGTTCTGTGGATTTTCACAACTTCAGAAAGCTCCTTGATTACTGTAAGTATAGAAATTTGGTAATAAATTACAATTATTGAATTATGTTAAAAGGTTAGAAATGCAAGGCAGTGGATGTGTGAAGCATTTTTTGTTCTGTAATCAATGAATATGTTCCTTCTTTCAGTGGTAATCTCTGGTTTGGCATTCTAGTGGTGTATTTTATTTTATGCTTTGTTTTTCAATACCAGGACACCAAAAGCCTCAGCATCATATATAAAGAAGAAGCAGAAGCAGCAAGACAATTCTTTTGCTGAATTGGCAGCCTCTGATGAGGTCAGTGTGGATGGTGAAGAAGGCCTGGACCCTGCCAGAACTTCATTCGTGGATTTGGATACTGCAAGACAAGAACTGGAAGAGTTTATTCCTCATGTGAAGAATATATCAGACAATTCAATCAAGAAAATGTCTGGAAGAGACCTAACAAGGTTTAAGGAGTTTAAAAAACAGGGTGAGCTCTCTGAAATCCTTTTGCAGTGAGGAGGGACTGTGCAGCTGTGCTAATGTTTGGACAGAGGGAAAAGTTTCTTGTGTTTTCTGTTGCACCCACAGAGTCTGGTTCACTTCATTCCAGTGACATATTTTCTGTTTCTCTGTTATGTAGCATCTGCTTCCACACTGGCAAATTTCAGTTGGAACTTGTGTGTTAATTACTGATTCCCAGCTGGTTTTGTCTCTTTCAATTTTCTCTTTTCCCCTCTGAATTTGTTGATACCTGAGCTAAAACCTGAGATGTGCAAGAGATGGTACTTGGGGTTTGACTTGGCTTTTTTTAATCTTTCTCTATTTTAGGTATTGCTGTCAAGTTTGGCAGATTTACCCAGAAGGAAAATAAACAAATCCGGAAAAATGTTGAAGAGTTCTTATCACTTACTGGAGTGGACAGTGCTGAAAAACTTCTGTTTACCTCGAGATATCCAGAAGATAAAGACACCATCCATCACCTGAAAATAAAACATAATTTTTGTGAAAAAATCTGTGAGTATTTAAGTTCATCCTCAGACAGCTGAATGTTGCATTCTACAAACTGGTGATATTGTGGTGTATTTTGTAAAATAATTTTTATGGACAAGTAGGGATGTTGTGAAATTTGGTAAAAGAAGGACCTGCTGACATGGTGTAGTTGAAATCTGCACAGTCCACTGTTTTTATTATCTGGTCTCAAACACCAAGAGTTTAGAGTTAAAACATGGTCAAGACCAGTAAAGACTTCTAGACCTGCATTTGGGCTTTATGGCTTTAAGTGCATTATTTGCTAAACTATAATTGAGGTTACTGATGGCAGCTGTGAGTGATTGGTAAGTTCTGTCTGAAATTGTCACCTGTTCTTAGATCACATAAATAGGTGGCTGGTGACTGAGTAGGGTGGAAGAAATTGAGCCATGTCAGTTTTCCAAGACATGGGGATCTACCAGGAGCTTTATTCTGTGTGTTTAGTGACATCATCTCAGGCAAGGCAGAGTAAAGGGCAGCCCATTGTGGATCAGGATTCTGGGATCAAACTAGTTTTGTGGTTATTTCAGAAACACAGTCCTTCCCTCTGCATCAGTGCATTTGCCTGATAGTGACTTTCATTCCAGTCTGAGACTTTGCTCCTGATCTGGTAGGATTTGGCAGAAAGTCTGATGAGTGTTCTGTGCCTTGCAGTCCCCTCTGCTGGGCACTGCTGACCAACAATGAACCAACCAAGGTCATGTGTTCCAGGGATTGATCTCTGTGGATCTTCCCTTCAGCAGAGATTTTCACTTGGCTTTTGCTGGGTGCCCCCAGTGCCTGCATTTCCCAGTTGGAGCAGTCTGGAAGCACCCAGTGTCTCCTCAGCCTCCTGCCTGGTGGCTGTCTCACATCTCTCTTTTAATGGGAGCGTTCAGCATGACAGTTAAATTTTAATCACACCTGGATCAAATGCATAGCCAGTCCATGCAGTTTGTAGCTGGTGAGTGGAAAGAATCTGTTGTTGACAGCACAGTGATGAATATGTGTGGTGTTGGGTATTTGGGTTTGTTTCATTTTGGCCTCACCACTGTGAGAAGTTATTGTTAAAAATGATCCTTTACCTTCCAGCTGAGGGCATTCCCCGGCCCTGGAGACTGGTATATTATCGAGCAAGGAAGATGTTTGACCCAAATAATTACAAAGGAAGGTAATGGAATACTTTAAAAGTATTTCTGAGTGCTAACATCAGTCTGTGTTGATTATTTGTAAATTAAAAATGGATTCAAATAAAGATCATCTCTCCCATTTGTGCCAGTTACTGTGACTTAATTGATAGTTCATTTTCCTTTATTGATTCCTCTGTTCTAAAATGTGACTTGAAGTGATAGTGATGATTAACATTGATCACCTGCAGATGTTACAGCTTTTTAGGAGATTGAAATGGTTTGAATTTACAACTGAAGCTGTGCCCAT